CAACGCTAATCATGTAAGAAACATGGTCCCTCACCTTTACTATAAGGCTATGTCAAGTATCACAAGAATAGAACAGCTGTTACACCCATATTCACCTTTATATACATTTCAAAATTCCAGGAGATATAATCTCAACCTTAGCTGGTGCAATGATAATTTTATCATGAGAACAAAGACCACACGAAAATTCTTGAAGAATTTATTATTTCTTCAATATATATAACCACATGAATTCTCAGTTATTTTCGTATCACATTTGAACCGGGATAGTCATCAACCGATCATGCCAACTGATATTTATTTCAATAAACTTCTAGTTTATTTTGCATGTGATTCCATCATCATGCCCATACTTAGTTACCACAAACAATATGTAAATATGAGTAATCTTTCACGTAAATATTTATAACCCACTTTGATTGTAGTAATATGAAGATCTTAAATCTTTCCATATTTTATAGTCTCAATTTTTTTTTCTTTGACTATTTCTTTGAAACTTAAAAAGTTTCTTCCGAGACTTGCTACAATTTCAATATCATGAGCAATTTTATTTCTTTGGGTAGTAGCACAATAGCTCACCAAAGCTCATAATTAACATTGGATACTATCATATCTTTCATAACATTGTTTGTGTGGTAAACATCTCTTTCAAGGAGAAACTTATATCATTATTGTCATGGTCAAAATCATTACAAGTAAGACCTTTTTTTTCTTGATTTACTTTTGTCATTAGTATCTCCTCCCTTTTGTTTAATATCAGGCAAAATATTTTTTTACACACAGAGATACATAACTAATGACAAATTTTTGTGGCAAGAAATTATTTCTTTCTTTTGTCATTTCGATAGTTTATACTAAAACATACCATAATATTTGTGATATACTAAAAGTACTTGACCAATGATCATTTATACCAAAATAAATTTCTTTATTTCTCTCTAACCTCCCATAGGGGTGAGTTGTGGTATTTATTAAATCATATATGAGTATGCCCTTATTTATAATTTTCATCATCTCTTTACACATTCACTTTCAAGAATGATCCACTTTTCATGATACTTATCACAAGTCACATTCTCTTCAAGGAATTGACTATAATCATATATTCATGCTTCATAATTATTCCTTTCATTAGAAGTTCATTGTCATGCTTTGAAATTTATCATATTCATATGACATACCTTGAAATCACTTTTGAAAGTCAAGTGTATCACCACTTTTTCATCCTTTTCTTTGATGGAGGATTTATTAACTTATCAAATTATTAGGTCTCATAGCAAACATGTTTCTAGTGACCTTTCATATCATTTGATGACAAAAATTACCTTCACTCCTTGAAGGACCATTTTGAGAACTCATAATGTTCTTTCTTTTATAATTTTCACTATGATGAGTATTATTATTTTGTCCATTCACGTCCACATTCATATCCCCAATCATAAAATAATCTTGTCATCTTTCAGACTTTTATTGTATTGCTATCACATTCACTTAAATGAATGGAGCATATTCAGTGGGATAGACTTCACAATTTTTAGCAAGAGCATATCGATTTGTTGGATCATCATTATATATCAATATATTGCATTGGGACTTTAACCCAATGTCCTATCCATACAAAGGCATGTTAGGCCAAAATACGAAGGGACTATAACCCAAAATCTTATCATCATGGTGCATCGAGACTTTAATCGATGTCTTACCCTTTTGATGCGGTGAAATTTGAATCCACCGTCTTACCTCAATCAATGGCATTATATATAGTCCAAAATAAAATTCATCCTTGAGCCTTTAAAATATTGTTTCTTTGTTATTAATAGCACAAATAAATTTAGTCATAATAACACTTCAAAAAAGATCATATACAAATTATTACCGAAACAAAGTTGATCCTCATAGGTGGCCTCTGAATACTATTTTCAACTTAAAAGCTTTATGAATAATTCACTTATTGAAAGATCAACAAATTAATTCTCAACATTGATTTCATTTGTTGCTAGTTAAGAAAATTTATTTCTTCAATTGTAATTCATAGATAAAGCAACTAGAGGTAAACACTAATAATCACAATAAATAAAATGATATCTCAAATTAAATTCAACTTAAGAGGATAATTATTTGGCCCATCATATATATTTTATCTTATTTTATGATTCAAGTTATATCCAACCTCATTCAGAATTGTAAAGATTATTATTTAAAAATTGACATAATAATTCATAATAACAGAATCCTTCTAACTTTTCAAGATTAGAAATCATTCAAATGCATATTTCTAATGGAAAGAAAACTCAATATGCTAATCCTTTCTGAAACATAGTGACAAATGAAATGAAATCTTTTTGAAGTGTTGAATTATTTTCAGATCAGTGAAATGATGCCTTCATGCTAGAAATGAAATTTTAAATATGTGTAGATGACTATTTTATAATGACAATACATATATATTTGTTTATTTGCACATAACATGTCAATAATCTCACTTTATCTTTTTGTAGATTATTAAAGTGGAGACCCAAAGCTCAAATGATAAGATAATTTTATTACTATTATTATTATTATTATTATTTTATTTTTTTTGTTTAGTTGAGCCAAAATAAAGCATAAAGAGGAAATATACTTTTAAAGAGATGGAAAGAAAATCACAAATTTGAAAGTGAATATATCATAGCTATTGCTAACTAAAAGCTTATTTTAGTTAATTATATAAATTAAAATTCATCGAAATCAAAGTTATACCATACAAAGATTTATTTACACTAAGATATAAAAACTACACCGACAATAATGTAAACATAAATATCTTTTGCATAATACTAATAAGTTCCAAACAACTTTTTAAGAACTCTTGTTATCAAATAAATGTTAGATTCAAAAAGGAGATACAGAAAGGTGATATTGTGACATAAAATTTGCTCATAATTAAATGATTGGTAAAATACATACCAGATACTTACCATACCGAAACATCTCTCCAATTTTGCTACTCATCTCATGTATATCTTTGAGATAGGTCAGAGACTCGTGCTGATAACGTGTTATAAAATGAAGATAATAAATTGAAATCAAGAAGAGTAGAGATAGAGAGAGACAAAGTAATAGTAGTAGTAACTTTCTTTTATTATTAAATGTTTTTACTTCTTGTTCTTGTTCTTGTTATTTCATATTACAAGAGGGGATGTATATAAAACTTGGGTGCAAAGTAACTTGGTCACAAAGTTACTTGGCCACAAAGTTTACTTGGACACAAAGTATTTTACTTGGACACAAAATATATTGTGTGGACATCCATTTTACAACAATGTTGAGTTTGAATAATGTCCAAATTGTTTCACTCCAAAATAAAAAGAAAAGTTCAAAAAAAGTAAATCTACACCATCCCCGACATCCGGAGATCTTTCAGGAACAAATGCCTTTTGTCTTCTTTTCACAAACTTTGAGGTATCCTCGAAAATGAATATATTTGAAAAAATGATTGAACAAAAAAATAAGTAGTTAAATGGCCTAAAGTTTACCTAGTATACTAATATCATGTATACAAGGAATACCAAAATAGTAGCTATAATTCATAATTAGGCAAATTATAGTGATATTATGCTCCAAGTTATAGTAGTTTATGATTTTTCTCTCTAAAATTAACCTTAAGCCCAATCTTCCTCGATTTTTATCAAATCCAATCCAATTTCTTTCCAATAAAGTTATATTTACGGGTAAATTAATTTCCAGAGCACCAACCTCAAGGTTTTTATTGAGTTATAGCCTAATTTATCTTATCTGTAATATTGTTCCCTAAAGTTAAACAATTCTCTCCAAGGAAGCATTGCAAAAGAAGATGGAAAACTCATTTATTGACCATTAATCCATCCAAACACAGATCAGTAAAACCACACCCCTACAATATGCAGCAAAGTATATATCTCCTCATGGAAACTTCAGTAAAAGAAAGGACAAGAAAAGTATGCAGATTGGACCTTAACAGATGAACCTTGGATTAAAACTTCAACAGCAATCTAAACAGGACATCAACCACTGAATTGGAAAACTGATAACAACCAGATACACAAATTCATAGCAAAAATGTAGTACATGGGAATTTCTTTTTCCCATTTTTTGTTTTGGGTGGGGGGTTAAGTACGCTGCAAATTGTAACTAGATGCTAGGTTTGGGAAGAAATACGTTTGACGATTCACCAATCAATCTTCTTAAATCACCATCTAACACAAAAAACTGAAGAAGATTGATTGTGAAAATGAATGAGATGCCTATGACAGCTTAAGCCATTTAGGGGTCGTTTGGTAAGCCGCATTAAAACAAATAGTCCATGTATTATGTATGATATTGTTTATTACTATGTTTGGTAGAAATTTGAACCATTGTATAATTAATCCATGGCTTAGTTATACCTCCTACATGGTATCACATGATGTATTACTAATACCTTCAATTTGGAGGTATTAGTAATACATGGGATATAATACCATGGGATAAGTCTATGTAAAAACAAAATATCCCTCAAATTATTTTAATTATTTTCTTGATTTTATGTTTTATATTTGTACAAGTAAGTTTATTTAAATAAATTTACAAATTACTACAATATTTAAAATGTGAGTTGTTTAACATTAACCAATTAAAAAGGCAAATATATCACCACATAACGTTTGGATCTTAATTGAATGTATAATTTGTTGATATATATATTTGTGTGATTTTCTAATTATTTGTATTTTGAACAATTTATAAAATTGCATACATATTAAAATTACAATTTGCAATTTTTATGGGTAAATATAGATGGTTTATTCAATTTTACTATTGTTTATCGTTTTTTTTCAATTTTAAAAGTTTATAGTTTATCTTTTTTTAAATTGAAATTGATATTTTGTAAGTGATTCAATTTACTAAGATGGCAATTATTTATCCTCAAATAATTTAAGTGAAAAAGAGAGAGGCAAGCATGACAACAAAATTGTTCTTCTTATAGCTAGTTAGAAGGCCAGAAAAAAATAATATTGTCTGGCAATTATTAACCTTAACCCAATTACATAATAATTCAAGGGTATAATTGGAAAGAAATTTTTTACAAAGTTTTAAACCAAACACAAGATGAGGTGGGAAACAATGAACCAAACACTTGGTAAATATAATCCCTGCACTACTAATCTCAGCATTACTAATCTCTGCATTATTAATCTTTGTACCAAACGACCCCTTATAGTAGAAGAAAAGCTGTTGGCTGCTGCTTTAGACTTGATGCCAACATGTCCTGTTATAATGGAGGACATTGCTAGAGATGGCACAAACCATTTAGCCAGATTTAACGGAATTCCAAGCGCCAATCATATCTCCATGCTATGGCTAGTACACAACTTGTCACAACAAATGGGTTTTCTCCGAGTCTTCAACCTGTGTGTGGAAGACAAAACTTGGGAATGAAATAGTGATGTCCCTGTAAAATGAATCACAAGAAACAATATTTAGAGGTTTCCTTCTGGGCTCTGGCTAATAGATGCAACAGTTTTCATGGGAAGTACAGTAAGATGTAGGAAGAGAACATAGAAAAGTTTTGACTTCTCTGGTTTGCTACCAAAGAAAGGAAGCAAAACAGCACAGCAGAAACAATTTTCTTTTAGCCTTGTGCATATCAGGTATTCTTCCAGTGAGAGGAGAGAATTTGACCAAGCAAATGACCCACCGAACAAAAGAGAGTTCATAAGGACAGAAGTACAAAGAAAAAGGAATACACATGATAAAGGATGTTTATATCTGGTGTCCAGATTTTTTAGATATTCAAAGGAGATAATCAGTAGCTACCACAAGCTTCCTTTTTTCTTTGTGTTAAGAATTCTCACATCGGAAAAGGGATGGGAATTTGGTCTCCTTAAATGGACTTTGTTATATTCTAAATGTTTTGATGATCCTCACAAATGCAGGGACTTGGTCCTTGGCAAAGTACTTTCATCCAGATTCAAAGTGGTGCACAACTGTAAACGTTATCTTTATAGCTGTCTCAGGTTGGTTGGTGAGATGTGCAGCGTACTTCACCAATAGAAAGGGCGGACGAAGTTGTTCGTTTAAGTGGTCAAAACCCTTGTTGGTAATTGATAGAGAGAGAGCTAGCAAGTCATTTTCAAGAACTCAAGCATCAAAGAACGCAGCAGCAAGGGACCTGGTCCCGGAAAGTCTGCATACGAGAAAAGGACGAAGAGACAGCTGTCAAAAAGCTCCCAACTTTGATGTGGTTGGTGCACAACTTTTCATAACAGCAGGCTCTCAGCCAATAGCCTCGTCCCAAGGGTTTGTGTCCACTTTGATATAGTCTCTTCTCCAAAACACAAACTTAAGATTTGGCAAACAAAGTTGTGAATTTCTGAAAATTCATAAGCTCAAAAAGAAAAGGTCATCTTCAAGGAAGAACAATGCTCATGCTCAACAAAGGGACCTGATAGAGTGCTGAAGCGTGTTTGTTGAGTTTGAGCTTTGTGTCTATCATTTTATAAGGTTCATTTCAATAGACACAACCTCAGTTTTTGCATCTTGAAAATTCTTAAGAACACAAGCAAAAACCCTTTTCGTGAAGTATTTTTCCTCAAGAGCAACAGGACCTGATAGAGCTGCATGTGTCATAGTTGTCTTAGGATTCTTACTTCAGTGCTTACATTGTAAATCTATTCCTATTCTATAAAGGAATCAGATATTTGTCTTGGTTGCCTAGTCAGATTCTAGATCATCTAGGAGCTAGCTGATTTAGTGGGCAGTGTTGTATCTACTTAGTTGAAGTCTAAGTTATCTAGGGTCAGATGGCTTAGTGGGCACTGTGGTATCTGCTTAGGCTCAGTAAGTAATAGGCGTATTACTTAGTGTTGAGATTAAGAGGTTAATCTCATTGGTGGATGTAATTTGTGTTTCACTTTTGCTTAAGACACAGGTCGTGGTTTTACTCCCTTGAGCAAGGAGGATTCCACGTAAATTTTTGTGTTGTTTTCTCTTTATTGTTTACTCTTCATTATTGTTCTTGCTGAGTCAAGGGACCTGGTCCGTTGACTGATAGTGGACGCACATATTCTATCAGGTTCGTTTTTGGGGTTGAGTTAAGCCCAGGATCCATCTTTACACTTTGATTGGGGTTCAAACCATCAGAATTTTCTTTTCCTAATTAACCTTCACCAATTCCCTGTAAAGCCAAATGAGAA